AACAAAAAAAAAAAACTGCCTTTAAGGAGCAGGGGAACTGAGTTTAGAACTCAGAAATAGAAACAATAGGATCTTGAATTAAGATGAAGCCTCTTGGAAGTAATACCTGTATTCTCTTCTAGCCTAAAGATGACAGGCCCCCTATGGAATTTGACAGATATTAAAGATGAATACTACATTGAGTGGTTCCTTTTGCATTCTTTCCTTTCCTTTTGTGCTTTAACTCTAGGACCCCAAAACTAGCTTTAAGATGCTAAAACCCTCTCCCTGATAGTTGACTTTAACCTTAAACTGAGGGTTAGTTGGAGAATCAGTAGACATCTCTTGAAACACTCCAGATCTTCTGTAAACAATAGTAAAACTTTTTTGCTACTTTGTTCTTAATCATAACCCCTATATGACTTTATATGTGGTTGGAAGAGAGTAAAGGGTATTGTCAATCAGGGGGCCCATTAATGGGACAGTTCTTTTTTACAAATTTAATATTTACAGATATATATTAAACATTGTAATTGTTTGGCTTGAGGTATGATATAAAATTATTCAAATTTTTTTAATGACCAAAGGACTAGATGATAATCTCAATGTTTACTTTTAATAATGGGTCATAATCTGTATAATTTCACCTTTGAGAGTTTTCTTTTGTTTTTTGAGATAGTCTTTCTATATACAAGCATGCTAAATCATCTTTTTATCTTTAACTTAAAGCAGCAACAACAGTCATACTTTAAAAAGTCAGTTATCTTAGATAATAAACTTGTAACCAGTTAATTTCAAATATGAAATAATAATCCAATTATGCCTAAACCTATATAGCATTTATAGATGCAAAATTCACTCCACCAAACTCTCAATGCCTTGCAAATCATCTGTGGGTATTTCATCTTCCCTCTCCGTACAATGTGGGTTCTTCAGGTGTCCCATGAAGTTGTCATGAAAGATAAACCAATTTCCCTGGGACATGTTTTGGTCCTACTGACACTCTTGAGACTGAATTAGGTGGAAATGTTGATAACTTGATTACTGAGTTTTTGTGACCTTAGTAAACTTATGCACCTGTTTAACAACTTCTTTTAAAGTCTCATTCCCCTTTTTCAGAAAAAAGTCAAGACCATTGTCTGGAAAGTATATTAAACAAAGTGCTTATACTTGATAGATGTGACGCTGACCTTGTCCATAGTATTGTAATTTTGTCCATTTTGAAATACTTTACAAATAAAACAGAATATAAATGTTTTACTTCAATATTACTGAAATTACACTATTATTAGTTATAGGTTTATGTTGAAAACTTGTGTTACAAAAATGTTCATTGGATGATAATGTTTGACTTACATTCTTTTTTCTCTTTATTTTTTATCGAAGTATAGTTGATTTACAATATCGCATTAGTTTCAGGTGTACAGCAAAGTGATTCGGTTATTTCTTTTTCAGATTATTTTCCATTATGGTTTATTACAAGATATTGAATATAGTTCCCTATGCTCTACAGTAGGTCCTTGTGTTTGACTTACATTGTTTTTTTTATGCTTTTTTTTTAACATCTTTACAATGTTGCGTTAGTTTCTGCTGTATAACAAAGTGAATCAGCTATACATATACATATATCCCCATATCCCCTCCCTCTTGCATCTCTCTCCCACCCTCCCTATCCCACCCCTCTAAGTGGTCACAAAGCACCGAGCTGATCTCCCTGTGCTATGCGGCTGCTTCCCACTAGCTATCTATTTTACATTTGGTAGTGTATATGTGTCCATGCCACTCTCTCACTTCGTCCCAGCTTACCCTTCCCCATCCCTGTGTCCTCAAGTCCATTCTCTATGTCTGCGTCTTTATTCCTGTTCTGCCCCTAGGTTCTTCAGAACCATTTTTTTTTTAATTCCATATATATGTGTTAGCATACGGTATTTGCTTTCCTCTTTCTGACTTACTTCACTCTGTATGACAGACTCTAGGTCCATCCACCTCATTACAAATAACTCAATTTCATTTCTTTTTATGGTTGAGTAATATTCCATTGTATATATGCGCCACATCTTCTTTATCCATTCACCTGTCGATGAACACTTAGGTTGCTTCCGTGTCCTGGCTATTGTAAATAGAGCTGCAGTGAACATTGTGGAACATGACTCTTTTTGAATTACGGTTTTCTCAGGGTATATGCCCAGCAGTGGGATTGCTGGGTCATATGGTAGTTCTATTTTTAGTTTTTTAAGGAACCTCCATACTGTTCTCCATAGAACATATCAATTGACGTTCCTACCAACAGTGCAAGAGGGTTCTCTTTTCTCCACACCCTCTCCAGCATTTATTGTTTGTAGATTTTTTGATGATGGCCATTCTGACTGGTGTGAGGTGATGCCTCATTGTAGTTTTGATTTGCATTTCTCTAATGATTAGTGATGTTGAGCATCCTTTCATGTGTTTGTTGGCAATCTGTATATCTGCTTTGGAGAAATGTCTGTCTAGGTCTTCTGCCCATTTTTGGATTGGGTTTTTTTGATATTGAGCTGCATGAGCTGCTTGTATCTTTTGGAGATTAATCCTTTGTCAGTTGCTTCGTTTGCAAATATTTTCTCCCATTCTGAGGGTTGTCTTTTCATCTTGTTTATGGTTTCCTTTGCTGTGCAGAAGCTTTTTTAAGTTTCATTAGGTCCTTGTTTTTATTTCCATTCCTCTAGGAGGTGAGTCAGAAAGGATCTTACTGTGATTTATGTCATAGAGTGTTGACTTACATTCTTTCTGACAGTTTCTGAAATCCATTTTCTCAAAGGTGTTAGCTACAGTTCCAGCTACAGCATACTCAAAGTTGGGAATGAAAGTGATTTTTCCCAGGAATCCTGATAAACTATTTGTTGTTTTGCAAACTCCTCAGTGGTTAAGTGAGAATATTCCTAATATTTTTTCCCCATCTTTTCACCCTTGGAAAATAAATGAAAAAAATAAAATACCTTATTAACGTGGTGGTTTGATAATAAGTGGAAAGCAGCTGGAGTCAGCTCTCAAGATTCCAGGGAAATGAGGCTTGGCATGAGTAATTCAGGCAGTGGTTCTCAACCTTGGCCGCATAAAAGAATCTCAGGCATCAGCCTTTTAATAAAATCTTCCTAAGTGATTCCAAGTCAAGGTTAAGAACTGCTGGTTTAAGAGGAATTAGAAAGGGAAACTTGAGTTAGGAGAGTATTATGATGGTCCAAGTTAGAAATAATAAAGACTTCAGTTAGGAAGTTAGCAGTGAGATATTCAGTGGTAAAAACAACAGGACTTATGTCCCAGACAAGGGAGAAAAATGAAGCAAAGATACCATCTTCATAGACGTGATGGTCCTAACCTTGAGACTGGATGAGGTTGCCATGGAAGAGAACCAAGTAGAGATCCTTAAAGGATAACCACATTCATGGATGGGAGAGGGTCCAAAAACCTGAGATGGGAGGAGAATCAATTGGCTGTAGTGGTAGAAGCTGAAGCCTGAGATTTTCAAGTAGGGATATATGATTATCTCAAGAGCAATTAAGAACAGTGTAGTAACATTAAATCATAGTAAGCTTCAAAATGTTTTTGAAATAGTCTCTGAAATATTTTTCTCAAATGTATGTTTATTGGATATCTTCGAAGTTATACTTTATAGGGACTTCCCTGGTGGCACAGTGGTTGAGAATCCACCTGCCAGTGCAGGGGACACGGGTTCGATCCCTGGTCCAGGAAGATCCCACATGCCACGGAGCAACTAAGCCCGTGTGCCACAACTACTGAGCCTGTGCTCTAGACCCCGGGAGCCACAACTACTGAAGCCTGTGCGCCTACAGCCCATGCTGCACAGCAAGAGGAGCCACTGCAATGAGAAGTCTGTGCACCGCAACGAGGAGTAGCCCCTGCTCGCTGCAACTAGAGAGAGCCTGCACAGCAGCTAAGACACAACACAGCCAAAAATAAATAATTTTTTTAAAAAGTTATACTTTATAAAGGTACTTTGAAATCCAGAAAGATAGCCAGACTTATGAAATAGAAAACAGTTTCTAATTCTAGTTCCACCTTTCTAGCCAGCTGACCTTGGGTAAGCCACTTGCCCAGTGCTCATTTTGCTAGCCCATTGAATGGCGATGCTAAGTGCTTGCCCTGCCTACTCCACTGTATTGTTTTTTGCATTAAATTAGATAACAAATGTGAAAATGCGTTGTAAAATGTAGACCAGTATACAGAAAATGGATTATTAGCATTAACCTTTTTGCTGTTATTCACAACACTTTAGTATTGAGAAGCTTTGGACAATTTATATTCCTAATAAAGAGGTAAAATAATACTAGGAAGTCCAAGGTCACCTTCTGTTCAGGGAGCTCACCATCCCACAGGGAAAACAGGATAAGGAAATACATAACTATAAACACCAGGGCAAAAGTTCTGTGAGAGCAGGCATCATATCACTAAGGTATTTCCAATGCCTAACTTAGTGCTTGAAACCTAATAGCCTCTCCTAAAATATTTATTTTTAAAATTTGATGAAATAATACAAGGTAAAAGGTCATATAAATAAAATACTCGGATAGTTTTGAGGAAGAGGAGATTCAAAACCTGGCACATTGCGTGAATAATAGTAAAAGACAAATATATGATGAATTAATGAATCATGGAGAGGGAGAAGTGTCATGTCCCAAAAAAGTCACCTGAGTTAATATGCAGCAAAAAGGAGTTTAAACCATATCAGATGCAAAATGTAGAAACAGCAGCAGGTGAAAAATGATTTTTAAATTCAGAAGACTCTAAGTTGCTAAAGGCCAAGACCATGGAAATCAGAAAACAGTGATGGGTCAGAGGAGACACCCTCGGAAATGGTGGTAACACCCAAGCTGATCACTTATTTGCTTTATTGGTTACGACTGCATCTCACCCAAAGGCAGAGTATTGCTTATGTTCAGATATGTACCTGAAATTTGGGTGCTAGAGTGTTCTGCTTTAAATGTGGCCAGTGAAAGCGTCCTGATCATGTGCTCTTCTGTCTATAGGAATAGATAATCTCTATGAGAGGGCGCTTCACATCCGCAAACTCCTCCTGACCTTGCCCAGGTCGGTCCTTATAGTGATGAGGTACCTCTTTGCCTTCCTCAATCAGTAAGTACCATAATTCTCTGCCAAAATGCTCATCTTAATTCCGTTTGCACCCCTCTGAGTTCTTTGTTCTTGGATTCTGTAACATGTACGTTGGGTTCCATTTATCAGCAGAGTTGAAGAGGAAATGATTGAATAGAGACTGAAGGTGCATTTTTCCTCAGCAGATCAAAGTCATTGTGTGACCTACCTTAAATAAGCCTTGTCACCAGATGCAGAAACTGTGGCCATAATTGCAAAAATATACAAGTATTACTAAAAAGAGCACTTTTCAGTGAATTACGTGTTTTTCCAACTTCCATCCAAAGCCAGTGTCATAAATGTTTTGTTAAAATGATGTAAACCACCTGCTCACTGCAGAAAATTTCTGTGATTTTTAAAGTTGTAGTCAGGGAAGGAGGGAAAATGTAGGTGAGATTTATACACAAATCCAAAAAAGAATTTTCTGCAAATTCAGTATAATGAGACCTTGTCAAAAAGATGATATTTCTAAAACATTCTCTAAAACAATGTAACAGAAATCTTAAAAATCACTGCATTATTTTCAAGGAAACTTTACTCTTTTAATTTAGGCAACTTGATTTTCAGTTGTGTCACTTGTAGATACATGGGCTCCATTATAAGAACATCTTCCCCAGGTCCTATCTAAGAGCCCCCTTGCACTTCAGTGTTTCAGTTAAATAACTGGAAATTTAAAATCCAGGCAGAGTAAGCTTGGGGAAATGCTTTCTCACTCCAGCATGAATTCTCCCTTCTTAGGATATTTTCTCTTCTCTATTTCACTGGAAGTTTTAAGTTCTTAAAAGCCATGGGGATTTATTACAACCGTGCTAACTCTTCCTGAAGTCATACGCGTTCAGGCTGACCCCCTGCAAGCCAAGTATCCTAAAATAGGGAAATGCTGGCAAGGAACCATACAGAATGGAGCTAAAGCATTCACAAATGACATTTGTACAGAAGTCACCCCTGGAAATTAGCAGTATCTAGAGAGATGGGTATAATCTATTTTAGGTTAAATACATCCTGTAAATTTTTACCTTTAAATAAGCCAAGTCACCCAGGCAATTGTAAAAATCTGAAGATTGCATGTGCCTCTCCTTCCCCAACATGGAGCACCTTGCATCCCTGCTGGTCCTCTCCATGCTGTCCCTACCAAATTTTCCTGATACACCTGAGCGAAACCAGCTGTGAAAGAATAAACCACAATGGATTAGGAAAGCAGACTGACCATGAACCAAGAAAGTTCTCAAAACCTGAATTTAATTCACCGTGTATCTCAACAGAATGGCCACCGTGCCATTCGTCAGACGATTGGCATTGCTTCCAGCATTTCTGCCCAAAGATGCCCCTTGGTCCCCTGCATCTGCCTTCATGCAGAGGCAAGGCCCAGCCTCTAGGATAGGATGCTTGGGACAGGAATTTTGGGAAAAGAAACTATTCTCTTTCAATTGTAAAATCAAAACATGTATGTAACATTTTTATGTCAAGTTTTTGCTCTTCAAGCCAGCACAAAATTAAAGACCCAGAAAGACTGTGACTCTCCCCATTGAGCTTAAGTGGATCTTTTGAAAATTAGACCATTCTTATTCTGAATCCCACTTTTCCTTCCTGCATTCATTTTCAAGATGATCTATAACATGATCATTGGCTGATATTTGTGAACTGTTTTTAAGATTTTATGTTTGAGAAATGGCAGAAGAGAAAGACATATGTTACCTGTGGAAATCATGCTTTTGTATTTTCCACTTTCTAGGCTATCTTGTTTCCAAAACAGGGTAAAGTATCATGTCACATGGTATCTCAGTTTCTTTGTGTCTGTCAACATCTCACAAATATAGAGTCTCTATTTTTCTCCTTCCATTTGTCATCTGTTCACCTGGATCTTACATTTCCTTTCAATGTTGACATTCTATATACTGAAAGATAGATTCTCTGAATTCTCCCTGGAGCAGCATCTTGCCCATGTGTTACGAGGCATAGCAGTAAAGAGCTGGCTTATTTTCAGTCACCTGTGGAAAATATCTCACAAATAGCCATTGGATTGAATTTAGAAATTAGTACTAGGCAACTGGAAATCTCAGAGTTTGTAGTTTACCAGCTTTAAGTGGAATGCAAGAATTGAGGATTCTTTTCCCCTTCTCTTGCACTTGTGTGTTTTATGACACTGGTTGTCACCTTGTGTTGGTAGTCTTACCCAAAAGCAAATTACAAAGCCTGGAGTTGCTTGCTTTCTCTCAGCGGGTACAAAGAAAAGGTGATTTGTTTTCCTCCAGACTCTCCTCAAGATTTATGGGAAAAAACTGAAATCTGAGATGTTTTTGGTTCGTTGGAGAACAATTTTAAAGATCTCCATAAAGCTTTATAGAGATCACTGCTGCCCCTCCCAGATTTACTTGAGCAGCATTTCCAGCCTGACCATAATGTTTACAAATGAAACTCATTTACTTGATCCTTGTCTCCACTGTAGTAGAGATTATCTTAAACTCCCTTGTGGCTTTAAAAAATACCACTTAAGCAAACAGGATTTATGTTCCCCTTTCAGTTTCTACCAAGTTGAAAGGTTGTAAGTCGCTTTACTTTCTTTGGAGTTTGCTGAGCCACCTTAAAGCAGGATGGAATATCATTTTATTCTAATAATAAAAACCAAATAAAGTCTTTTAGATCGGTATTTTTAGAATAGGAAGTATCTTAATTAAACATTGACTTTCTTTTTTTCTCATGTTAACTCCTTTCTTGCCTCTTTTCGTAGTCTTTCACAGTACAGTGACGAGAACATGATGGACCCTTATAACCTGGCCATTTGCTTTGGACCCACGTTGATGCCTGTCCCAGAAATACAGGATCAAGTGTCCTGCCAGGCTCACGTGAATGAGATTGTCAAAACCATCATCATCCACCATGAGACTATTTTCCCAGATGCTAAAGAGCTGGATGGCCCTGTTTATGAGAAATGTATGGCTGGAGATGACTATTGGTAAGTCCAAGAATTTTAGTCCTTCTCCCCCTGGAAGAATTATGGAAGTACAGATATCAACTTAATTAAGAAAAAGAACACTGACTATAGGCTGCCAGTGCTTCCAATTTAAAAACAAAAGAAGCAGCAGCAAGAACACTTGAGATACATTAGAATACTAAAATCCATGACAACACTGGCTTCTTATTATGGAATTTCATATTCATCCCTCTCTTTTCCCCAAGCATGACATCTTTATAGATATATCCATCCTATCATGACTTTTGTAGAGAATGATTTTGATATATAGAGCTGTGTTAATTTTTACTATTATATCAAGAAAAGATAACTGATTGAATTGACAGATTTCATTTTTATTCCTAAATAGTTTTGATTCTATATAAAGTATTTCAAAATTCTCATTTAAAAGGAGCGCCACAACCAAATGTGTTTTCATTCTTCCTTATTTTCATTCTTACCAATAAACGTTATCCTAACCAGTTATGGTCACTTTGAGCAAATTTATTATTGTTGGGATAAAAATGTTTTAACATGGCATTATAGTCACCTCCCAATGAAGTATAAAAATGAGGGGTATAGTCCATTGAACAATCCCAAAGGTAAGGAACCCTAAAATGTTTACGTTCACTGTTTGATATATGAGTGCTAGCTTCTAAGAAATCATATACAATCAAAGTGGTTTTGACTCCTTGAGCCCCTACCCCGTGCCAGCTTCTCAATGCATATGATCTCTTTTATTCCTCACAACCACTCCACCAAGTAAGTTAAGAGAGGCCGAGGAGCCTGTCCAATGGCTAGTGCTTACTGGACGCAGCCCAAGTCTTGTCTGATTCCAAAGTCCACACGAGTCTTCCCACTGAGCAGCTGCCTCCCAGCCTGCCTCAGAAACTGCTTTGTGCAGCTCAGACTAAGGAGAAGCTGGAAATAAATTTGTCTAAGTCCTTCATTCTGGACCCTCGTCGGGACACTTGGTTTCCCACTGCCTTCCTGGAGATGAAGTAGAAGTAGAATAAGTAACTGAAAGATCTAAATAACTCAGAGTACACTTATTTTTTACTTAAACCACAGTATATTCTTAAACCACAGATGATCCTATGCCTTAAGAAAATTGAGAGTTGACTATTTCCACAAGTACTGCTAAATTAACAATAAAGCATGATAGATTCTAGTTTTATAGTATATCTAGCAATTTTATGTGAAATTCAATTTTAAAATATTTACTTGAGCACTTACTACATGCACATACTGACTAAGCTTGGCTCTGGGAAGATAAATGAATAAAACTCAGCCCTGGTGAGATTCAGAATTTTATTTTCCTAGTTGTATTTGTTTCAAGGCCCGTGTCAGTCATATTTAGTATTTCAAAATATTCAGAGCTATGTCAGTAAGTTCTGTTGTCTTGTTCATTTTATCACAGAGCAAGTATGTGGATGTCTGGTCGATATTATTTGATGCGTTGTATTCTAGAACTTTTGTGGTTGCTCCATTTTTACAAACAGGGTAAAAGCCCCATAATAAAGAGTCTTGCAGCCAGTAACATGTGCTTGATTATGTCCTTCTCCCATACATAGTGTTTTTTATGGGTATCGCTCATTTTAAACAGAAAGTCAGTAATATAGTAGTCATCCCTGTTCCCCAATGCCAGCAATATAAATGGGCTTTTACAGTAATGTCAGGTTTGTATTTGTAACCATTGCATTCCATTTATCAGCATACGTTTGAGAAGAGATAGTGGTAATGTTAAAGGATAAAATTTGACTCTCAGATACAAAAATGAACATGTGTCTAGAAAAGATAAAAAAGATACTACAATCAATTCAAAGCAGAAACCGAAGAGCCATCCATTTCTTTGCAGTAGGGAATATTGAATTTGCAAAAACTGGTGTATCCATGGGGCAATAATCATATTCCACTAGAATTCAACAAATTTTCATTTTTGTGGATAAGAATTATTTGTAATACTATCAATTTCCTACAGGTTAATTTTGTCTTTACAGATTTGTAATGTGTCAAAGATGAAGGTACATACAGTCCCATAGGATTAGAGAATCCTAGAGGCTCCAGCATTCCACTGAAAGGCTGTCCAGCAACTCCTTTGCCATTCCAAAGTCTTATTTATTTATTTTTTTTACAGTAGCAATTGTTCATCTTTGAAATGCTTTCCACTTTGGCTTCATATGAATTTCTATTTCCGCTCCTCAGCGACAGCCCATACAGTGAGCACGGTACATTGGAGGAAGTGGATCAGGACGCTGGTACAGAGCCCCACACCAGTGAAGACGGTATGCATTTGTGCCCATGCTACTATAAAATTCGTCTTTATATCCATTTTTTAAGAATTGCTTATAGTAAGAATTCAGTAGATACAAAAGAATACTTACTAAATATGTGTAAAGTGCGAAGAATAACATTACAATGAACACTTGTGGAACCACCACCAAGTTTAAGAAAAAGGTATCATTACCTTTGCGCTTTCCTGAACCCATTGCCTTCTTTACCCCTCCAGGGTAACCACTATATGTTTGTACTTTTAAGTGATTTATTGTTTCATTTTCTATTTTCTTGAACGTTTCATAAATGGAATCATATGTGTATACTTTTCATGATTTTTTCTACTCAGTATTATATTTCTGAAATTAATCCATTGTTGCATGCAGTTATAATCATTTATTTACCTATATTCCATTGTATTTATTTTATTATTGATGAATATGTGAGTTGTTTTCTATTTTTTTGCCATCAAAAACAGTGCACCTATGAATATTTCAAACATGTATCCTACTGCAAATGTAGAGTTTCTCTAGGATATACACACATAGGAGTAGCATGTCTTCAACTTTACTACATACTGCCGAACTATTTTTGAAAATGGTTGTAAGGATATCCACTCCCACCAGCAGTGTCGCAGCCTTTCAGTTGTACATAGTCATCAACACTTGATTTTTTTTCCTTGATTTTTTTTTGCTGTGTCGGGTCCTAGTTGTGGCACACGGGATCTTCGTTGAGGCACGTGGGATCTTCCATTGCGGTGTGTGGTCTCTTCGTTGCAGCACTGGGGCTTCTCTCTAGTTGTAGCGTGCAGGTTTTCTCTCTCTAGTTGTGGCGCACAGGCTCCAGAACGCGTGGGCTCTGTAGTTTGCGGCACACGGGCTGTCTCATTGAGGCACGTGAGCTCAGTAGTTGTAGCCCATGGGCTTAGTTGCCCCGCAGCATGTGGGATCTTAGTTCTCTGACCAGGGATCAAACCTGTGTCCCCTGCATTGGAAGGTGGACTCTACCACTGGACCACCAGGGAAGTACCAACACTTGACTTTATAAAATATTGTAATCTTTGCCAATATTGTCAGTGTGTAATGGCATCTCATTGTGATTTTAATTTACATTTCTCTGATTACTGATGAAGATGTTGTTTTAAAATATAGTGTATTAATAGAAAATTTGAGGTATGGTAAGGCCAGCAGATTGGGAGATGATCGCCATTGAAAAGATAATTTGATACAGTTCCTAAGAGGAGGGGACACATCACACCTCAGGGGGCCAAGGAAATCACCAGGGTCAGTCAGGAGGCAGAGGGAGAGGAACAACTGGGTAAGAGCTTTTATTGTGGTTTCCACAGAAAGGAACATGAGAGGAAGGGTAAGCAGGGTTAGGATTGCCTAGTTTGAATAATTTCAGTGGGCTCTGGGGCTGTCTCTGGTTGTCTGGTACCTGGCTCTGAAGTGATTGGGGCAGACAGATAGTGGCCCAAAGTGTGAGAGCCCCAGAGAGGAGGTGGTTGGGATATAGGCTCTGGATTGGTTTGTTTGTATTTGAAAAGCACATTCCAGGTGAGTTGTTTACCGTCCCTAGGAATTGGCTAACCCTGGGAGGGACAGTCCCTCCAAGGGCAGCAAGGCCTCAGAGGTCACACTACAGAAAATGAAACACATGGTTAATGCAGATATACTAATTTTTGTATGTTTAGATTTCTTCTTTTGCCCATTTAGGGCCCACTTGCGCACTATCATTTTCTCTGGGCTTTTTTTGCTTAGTTTAGTTTAGTTTGGCTTTGGTGTTTTCTTATTTATAAGAGCTCTTTGTGAGTCTGGATCAGGTCTTTTATTGGATATATGATTTGCAAATATCTTCTGCTCTGTAGCTTGTCTCTCATGTGCTTATTGTATCTTTTGCCAAACAGAGAATCTTAATTTTAAAGGCGCTGAATTTACCAATCTTTTCCTTCATGGTTGTTTCACTTTGCATCTCCTTTAAGAAATCCTGTGCCCTGAGGTTAATGAAGAAGTTCTTCCATATTCTCTGCTAAATCCTTTCAGGTTTTGTTTTTCACACAGAGGTCTTAATTCTACCAGGAATTTATCTGGAGGTATGGTGTGAGGTAGGGATTTGTTCCTTTTTTTCTCCATATGGATGCACAGTTGTCCCCACTGCCCCAGCCTTAATTGTCCTTTCTCTACTGCTCCACACCTTTATCATAAATCAAGTGTCATCTCTGCATGAATCCGTTTCTGGGCTCTGTTCTTTTCCATGGGTCCACTTGTCTATCCCTACACCCCTGTCTTAATTTTGATACCTTTTAATAAATCTTAACATTTGGCAAATCAAGACCTCTGAATTTGTTCCTCTTAACAATTCTTGGCCTTTTTCACTTAAATTTTAAACTCATTTTTTCAAGTTCTTGAAACAAACAAGGAAAAAAAGCCTAAAAACCTGTTGAGGTTTGGACTGCAATTGCACTGATCCTACATATATTAATATGAAAAAATTGATATTTTTATAATATTCACTCTTCTAATCCACAAACACCTTTCTAGTTACTTAATGTCTCCCAATAAACTTTTATACTTTTCTCTGTAGTGATCATTTTTTTCTCTAACTTCTTAACTTTAATATTTAACATTACTTTTTGACACTTTTTTAATGTGAACATATAAAGCTGTCGGTTTTTTCTTAGTACCTCTTTAGCTGTATGCATAAGCCTTTTATTCTCTCTTTAGCTGTGACTAATCTGCTTTAAACCCATTCACTGTGTTTTTATTTATTTTTTGTTTGTTTGTTTGTTTTTTTGTTTTTTTTGTTTTTGTTTTTGCGTTATGCGGGCCTCTCCCTGCTGTGGCCTCTCCCAGTTGTGGAGCACAGGCTCCGGACGCACGCAGGCTCAGCGGCCATGGCTCACGGGCCCAGCTGCTCCGCGGCATGTGGGATCTTCCCGGACTGGGACACGAACCCGTGTACCCTGCATCGGCAGGCGGACTCTCAACCACTGCGCCACCAGGGAAGCCCCTGTGTTTTTCTTTTTAATTTTTTTTCTACAAGTTCTGTTCAGTTTACTTTCATATCTGCTTGGTCATTTGCTCTTATAATATTAATCCTTTCCATTGTTTTAGATTTTGTGTCTAATCATGCTAATAGCTGAAGTCTTCCTGGATTTGTTTTTGTCGGCTTTTGCTCATTGAATCTTATTTCCAGTGTGTTTCATAAATTTTTTACATATTCCTTAGAACTTCATGGAATTCCGTTATGTTGAGTTGAAGGTATGTCCCCTCCAGAGAGGGTGTTCATATACTTCTGCCTGGTGCATAACCAGCTTGGGACCACATTAGATTTTTAGTCTGAGATTTTTTCAGGCCACCCAGGTAGTGTGAACTTAAACTGCAAACCTGCCAGAGGACTGAAATGTGGTTGGGATTCTCTAAGGTGATTTGTTTCCCAAGGCTTGAGATAGATTATTTCCTTAAGTCCAAAGTTGGAGTGGTTACATCTATGGAGAAGTATGGAGAGTGAGAAGGGAGGAAGATTTCAGAACTAGAAGTCCACTGTGACACAGAGAGTTTAATCCTTTGGTGGGGCTTAGATTCTCCACACTGGGCAGCCCCTGGACCTAGTCTTTTGTGCAGAATAAAGTTTAAGTTAACCAGGCAGGGAAAATTCCCTCCAGGCAAACTCTGACTTAACATATTCTAGTGTTCTGTTTACCTTGGTGGGTTCCCACATTCATCAGGTTTTTGGTCTTTAGTATTCCTCACAGTCATAATTAATGTGATTACAAAGGTTTTTTTTTAATCCAGCATTTTTAGTTGATTTCAGCAGGAGGGTTATCAGGGTGTCTAGGTCCACCCTCTGCTTTAAAAAAAAAAAAGGTTTATTTGTGTGTTTTTTTAATATATATATTAATTTATTTTTTATTTATTTTTGGCTGTGTTGGGTCTTCGTTGCTGCACACGGGCTTTCTCTAGTTGTGGAGAGCGGGGGCTACTCTTTGTTGCAGTGCACGGGCTTCTCATTGCAGTGGCTGCGGAGCACGGGCTCTAGGCATGCGGGCTTCAGTAGTTGCAGCACGCAGGCTCAGTAGTTGTGGCTCATGGGCTCTAGAGTGCAGGCTCAGTAGTCCTGGTGCATGGGCTTAGTTGCTCCGCGGCATGTGGGATCTTCCCGGACCAGGGCTTGCACCCGTGTCCCCTGCATTGGCAGGCGGATTCTCAACTGCGCCACCAGGGAAGCCCCTGTGTTTTTAACAGCAGGATAAATTGACATTTTTAGAACTTAAGTTAGAAGAAACTAAAGTGAGAGCTTCTATTTCTGTGGTATTGCTTTTGAAAGTCTCTGAGCCCTCCCTCTGCCACTCTCCATTCTTTTGTCTTGAGTTTCTGTGTTTCTTTGTGATTCATTCCTTTTTCACTGATGACTTCTGTGAGTGTTTCCTTGCTTGCCCCAGTGGCAGGAAAAGCCCAAGACAAAGCCCCAGCCATCTCTCTTTCCAAGCATCTGTCTCACCACCGCACCATCTGTCAGTTGTTCTTACCTCTTGGCTACAAAAGAGCAGCTTTGCTGAGGGCTCTGTGTTTGAGATAATATTTTGATCATGTTCACCTGATTTTGCTGGAAAGAAAAGCACTGCTTACAAAGGACAGATACCCTTGCCCGCAGCCAGACTCTAAAGTCCTGTAACTAAATTAACTAGAGTATTGATTGTCTTTTTGATCATCTAGGTATTGTATTTTCTTTTCTCTGTCATGGTATCACTAGAGAGAGTAGCTTTTGTTTCCAAAAGACAGGCTGTCACAGAACAGAATCATCATCCACAAGGGCAGTGGGTAACAGATCTAGGAGAGAAAGTGTCAGGGACAGCAAGGTCCCAAAGGGGTAGTGTGATGTACTAGCACTTTGTATAAAATTACAAGAAATGGAAATATAAGACTTGATAGCACCAGGCAGTCAGAAAATCAGCTTTGTTGAATTTTCTTTCCCTTTGCACAAAATTATAATTGCCTTGTAGGAAAATGAAGTTATCGTGTTCACCCTTATTAATGTTGTTATTGGTAGGAGTAGCATTCTACAAAGTCTCTGCAGGACCTTAAAGGACTGTGTGACCCTATATGAAAGGGGTATGGTGTGTCTCCATGCCCTGAGATCGATTTGCTCTGCAATGATGAAACTCAGATGTGTATAAATAGCTTATTGACACTTGACTGTGAAATTTCTCTCATGGGAGTAGAAAGAGTCAAAATAATGAAATTGCTCAGAATTACTAGTTGATGTAGTAGGATTACCAGTAAAGTATACTTCTGATTCACCTGGTCATTCTTTTATAACGTCTTTACATTTGAATTATATAAGCAGAGTCTGATAATCTTGTTGCTAGCTGTTTCAAAAAACAAAAAGATAATGAGCATAGAGGGCATGATGATGAAATTATGATAAAATATGTATATATCTATTAAATAGTCTTAAATCGCCCTTGGCCAGTGTTGACAGTGTAAGACTGAATGGCATTAAAGAATATTAATAGTTCTCTCTTCTTTTCCCTTTGACAGGTACATAGGTTGTATGCTATGTTATGCTGTTATCTTTCCACTTTTTTTCAGTAAAACAATTTAAACATATGGGTGTGTCACATAAGAATTTGCAAACTACATATCATGAAGCTCTTTTTGGCATGAGTTCATTGGCATGACTTCACTCCTCTATGGATGTTTGTGTCCCCTGTACCACAGACAGGTTGATTTCTGTCCCCCAGGGCAGTGGTTCCCAACCTTTTTAGCACCAGGGACCGGTTTCGTGGAAGACAATTTTTCCACAGACCAGGGGCGGGGGAATAGTTTCAGGATGATTCAAGCACATTACATTTATTGTGCACTTTATTTCTATTATTATTACATTATAATATATAATGAAATCATTATACAACTCACCATAATGCTGACAGGAGGCAGAGCTCAGGTGGTAGTACGAGCGATGAAGATGTAAGTACAGATGAAGCTTTGCTCGCTCACCTGCTGCTCACCTCCCGCTGTGCCGCCCAGTTCCTAACAGGTACTGGTCCGTGGCCCGGGGGTTGTGGACCCCTTCCCCAGGGAGAACTGGGGTAAAAAAATTGGCATCTGTCATTTCAGTTCAAGCAGGATTTATTCTTTACATGCAAGTTTAGAACAGACTATAAAGTCAGTCTCCTTGAATAAAAGTTCTGTTTCCTCCTCTGTGAGCAGACTTATGGCTATTTAATAAAGCTGCTGTTTATTGTTTTATTAAAATATAATTTTAGGATGGAATATCGGAGTGTTAACATACGATCTAAAAGTTATCAATTATTAAAGGACTTAAACTACTGTTTTAAAATTATTTTTACACCTACTTTGCTGAGAAGTATACTATGTGCAGATCATCGTGTTGTGGTTCTGCCATATGAAATATTATTCACCTTAAACATTATCCACTAGCAAAAAGATGGGGCTTTTTTGTGTGTCTTTATTTTAAACATAGAGCTGAAATTCACCCAGGCCCTTCATATAAGGTAAACCCTAAGCTTTTTCAGTATGTTTGTTGATTTTCATGCTCTTGCCATCCCAGAGGATGTTTGAATTTATCAGGTGAGAAAGTTTAGCTGGCTATCCAAGGATTTCTTGTGCAGTTATTTCGTATAAATACAACAGATATTGAAGATATTGCAATAAACTTTGGGAAGCAATAAACTCTTAAATGGAAAGGTTTGTTACCAAGGGAAATAGAAGATAAAAGTTCCTTACAAAATATTTGACAGGCAGGTTTTAATCTATTATGTGTGCATATATTCTAGAGTATTTGGAAAGTGATACATGCTCAGTTTTTAGCAAATGAGGTATTGTTCATTGCATAGACAGATTTCTCTAAGCATATGCCACTTGTACTGACCCTTTTTTGTTCTGTTTCTTATTAATTAGCAGTTTACTCACCTATTATAATTTTATTTTTGGCTGCGTTGGGTCTTCATTGGTGCGCGCGGGCCTTCTCTAGTTGTGGAGAGTGTGGGCTACTCTTCGTTGTGGTGCGCATGCTTATTGTGGTGGCTTCTCTTGTTGCGGAGCACGGGCTCTAGGTTCACGGGCTTCAGTAGTTGTGGCACGTGGGCTCAGTAGTCGTGGCACACGGGCTTTGTTGCTTCACGTCATGTGGGATCTTCCCGGACCAGGGCTCGAACCTGTGTCTCCTGCATTGGCAGGCAGATTGTTAACCACTGCGCCACCAGGGAAGCCCTACTCACCTATTGTTGGTAGCAGGGATGAGGATGGGGTGATGGTGGGAGAGGGGAGGTAGGATCATAAAGCCCCCGATTCAGGGCTTTTTGCAATAAGCTGGATCACAAAAAGCAACTCTTGTAGTTGTTTTGAGTAGTCTGTCCTCTTATTTGCCTTTAATATTTGTGGTCAGAATTAGAATAGAGCTGAAATTCCAGTTCTAGGCCCAGAGCTTGATAGCTTTTTTCAACTTTTAATTTTGAGGTCATTGCAGATTCACATGCCGTTGTAAGAAACGCAACAGAGAGATGCCATACCCCCTTCTCCCAGTTTGCCCCAGTGGTAACGTTTTACATAACTGTAGTATAATATTACAAGTAGGAAACTGATATTGATATACTCCCTCCACCATTTTCACATTTCACCAGTTTTACATGCACTCGTGTATGTGTTTACTTAGTTCTGTACAGTTTTATCACACATGTAGATTTGTGTGATCACAATCACAGTCAAGATCAAGAACAGTTCCATCACAAGGATCCTTCGTGCTACCCTTTAATAGCCTTAGCTGTTTCCTTCCGTCACTTCCCCCCCACCCCAGCCTCTGGCAACCACTAATCTATTCTCCATCTCAATTATTATGTCGTTTCAAGCATGCCATATAAATGGAATCAGACAATATGTAACTTTTTGAGGTTGGCTTTTTTCACTCACCATTGTTCCCTTGAATATTTTTTGATCTCTACAAGATATAATTTTTTAATCTGGTCGTTTGAGTAGGTATGCTTGTTTCACAGGTGTTATCCAGAATTTGTTTTTGATACTAGAAAAAATAAAGTTGTCTTTACTGTTGGTAGTAGTTTCAAGATTTGATAGTGCCAAAAAAAATACATAAGGAAATTAAATGTATTCAAATAGTATTTAATGTGGTGATTTCTGTAAACTTGATTTTTTTTAAATAAGCAAATAAAGCATAAACTTCTTAATGTTCTGAGATAGTGATTCTCCCATGTTCTAAATGGTTATAACATGTTGCCAGGGAACTTGATCAAATAATATTGGTCAAGATAATACTGGAGCTCTTGAAGAGGATATTACAACCCAGGGAGAGATTTTATATATCATATTGCAAAGCTTTAAATATTTTTTTATTAGACTGTCATGGTATCTCTAGTAAGAGGCTGTGGAAACTAAGATCTAATGTTCAGTTTTTCTTTGCCTGAAAAACTGATGACAGCAAGAGAATATTTTTCTGTATCTCTTTTAACAGCATCATTTTCTCATCGTCTTGATGATTTATTTATTACCTTGTTCAGTCTGGATATTAAAATGACCTTGTTTATTTCTAAAGCCTCATATAGACCTTTCAGTTAGTGTAGCATGCCTTCCTGAGAACCCTGGCCCTCACCATCTTCTGGTGTGTTCTCTGTAGAAAATGAGCCTATAGAAGCAATAGCCAAGTTTGACTATGTTGGGCGGTCTGCCAGAGAACTGTCCTTCAAGAAGGGTGCTTCCCTGCTGCTGTATCACCGCGCATCTGAGGACTGGTGGGAAGGAAGACACAACGGGATCGACGGGCTTGTACCCCACCAGTACATAGTGGTGCAGGACATGTAAGTAGTCCCAACTTCCATCACCTGACGCTCCCAAGACAAGCCTCCAGCCACTGTTTATATATATATATAAATTTATTTGTTTGCTTAGTTATTTATTTATTGGCTGCATTGGGACTTCGTTGCTGCGTGCGGGCTTTCTCTAGTTTCGGCGCGCAGGGGTTATTCAGAAGTTGCAGTGCGCAGGCTTCTCACTGTGGTGGCTTCTCTTGCTGCAGAGCATGGGCTCTAGGTGCGCGGGCTTCAGTAGTTCTGGCACACGGGCTCAGTAGTTGTGGCTCACAGGCTCTGGAGAGCAGGCTCAGTAGTTGTGGCACACAGGCTTAGCTGCTCTGCGGCATGTGGGCCTTCCGGGATCTTCCCGGACCAGGGCTCAAACCCTTGTCCCCTGCATTGGCAGGCAGATTCTTAACCACTGAGCCACCAGGAAAGCCCAGCAGCTATTGTTCTTAAAATGACTTTGGTCTCGTGAGAAGAGAGCAGAGGGATTACAGAGCAAAAATTTCTGAGCTGGGCACAGTTCTTCACCTTGCTAATGGGCCTTTGCTAACAGCACTTCAGGGCCAACAGCTTCTCATTTCCCAAACTCTCCTAGAAGGTCTGGAGCCAAGGACTAGTGAGAGACACACCTTCTGAAGTGTTCAGGTTCTTAGGAAAATACCCTGTGCGGAGGATGGCTTTAGGAGCTAAAGTGGCACTGCTGATTCCAAGAACAGTGGTGGCTCTTCTCTTGGTGCCTGTCTACTGTTTCAATTCCAAATTCCCAAGAGAGAGGATGCTGACTTCAAGTCTAAAGAGAATCATCTTCAGGCTTCTTTATTAATTTTGCTGATGAGAAAGCTCTACTTTCAAAAAAATACTTAAAGAGACATCTTCCCAAAAAAAATAAAAAAAGAGACATCTTCCCGTCTGGTCATAATTTTAAGTGAAAGAAACAAGTTACAAAATACCATGTACAGTGTGATTTTAATTTTGTGACTGCAGTATTTCACAATGCAGCACCAATTTATGAACAGCTCTTCAAGGAAAAGAGAAAAATACCACATAAAATGTATACAGTGACTGATTCAGCCTAAGTTTTAAAATGTTAAAATGTGTCTCTCAGGATGCAAGAAATATGTGTATGTATGCATGCAGACATACAGTCATGTATATCTAAAGTACATAAACATATAAATATCTATAGTATAAATACTGTACATACCTGTGGACATCCTTGTAGATACGTATCCCAGGCAGAGAAGAAAAGCATAGAAGGATATTTTCTACAATTCGAACAGTAGCTGTCTCTGGATGTTACGTTATATTATGGGCGATTTTTATTGGAATTTCGGAATTTTCCAATTTATCTGCCATGAAACGTTATTATTCTTATAGTGAAAAGAAAAAAGTTACGTTAGTAAGAGAAAGACTTACATACATAAATGCCATCACTTATTTTTTTGTCCCCGTTCGTCTAGCAAAAGACCCTCACTCTCGATTCTCATCGTTTCAGGGATGATACGTTTTCAGACACTCTGAGCCAAAAAGCCGACAGTGAGGCCAGCAGTGGGCCAGTGACTGAAGACAAGTCTTCATCCAAGGACATGAACTCCCCAACAGACCGTCATCCTGATGGCTATTTAGCCAGGTAGGTGGAGTGGGTCACCAGGCTCCTGAACCTCCACTTCTCCAGGGGCTCTGAGGGGCCATGGCATCCCCAGCCTTGCAGAATTACCCTGTGTGATAACCTCTCCTATTCTCTCACTCTCCATCTCTGTCTAGGCAAAGAAAAAGAGGAGAGCCACCCCCTCCAGTAAGACGTCCTGGCAGGACCAGTGATGGCCATTGCCCTCTCCATCCCCCACATGGTCTTTCCAACTCCTCAATTGACCTGGGGTCCCCAAGCCTGGGCAGTCACCCCCGGGGCCTGCTACAGAACCGTGGCCTCAATAATGACAGTCCCGAGAGGAGGCGTCGGCCGGGTCACGGCAGCTTGACCAACATCAGCCGCCACGACTCCCTCAAGAAGATTGACAGCCCTCCTATTAGAAGGTCCACATCGTCAGGGCAATACACAGGCTTCAACGACCACAAGCCACTGGACCCAGAGACAATCGCTCAGGTAGGCTGCTCTGAATAGAATATTGCATGGTAAGTACCGGTGTGTGATGAAGGAGGCGCACAGGAGTTACTTTCTGGAGCCATGTCTTTTGTATAGAATCAACTAAAGACAACAGAAGAGAAATTAACCCATTCTTCAATTTAAGTCCATGTGATACTGGAAGGGCCCAAGTGTATTAGGTTCATAGTGATTTAAACAAAGACACGGCAGAAATTTAGGACCCAGGACAGTCAAACAAACACATCCTTGCTGAACGGCCAGGAAAATTCTAAAAAAGAAGAAGAAGAAGAATGAGGAAGGACTAGCCCTACCAGATCCTAAGTGCATGCCAGAGCTAGTAAAACAGACAAACTGATGGAACGGAATGGAGAGCCCTGAAACACAACATTTGTAGTGTATGAGGAAAGTGACACTTTCATCTTAGGACATGGTGGATTACTCAGTAAACGAAGTGAGAAAATGATGGTTGGCTGTTCAGAGAACAGCAAGTTTGGCTCCTCTGTCACTCCTGAATGGATGTGTGTCTTTACTTCCCAATAGTGACTGCAGAGAAGGGCCTTGTAGTTTTTTCTAATGATCAGAATTGACAAAGTAGGGCTTCCCTGGTGGCGCAGTGGTTGAGAATCCGCCTGCCAATGCAGGGGACACGGGTTCAAGCCCTGGTCCGGGAAGATCCCACATGCCGCGGAGCAACTAAGCCCATGCGCCACAACTACTGAAGCCCGTGCACGTACAGCCTGTGCTCTGCAACAAGAGAAGCCACTGCAATGAGAAGCCTGCACACCGCAACGAAGAGTAGCCCCCGCTCGCTGCAACTAGAGAAAGCCCATGCACAGCAACGAAGACCCAACGCAGCCAAAAATAAAATTAATTAATTTAGAAATAAAAAGAATTGACAAAGTAAAACAGTATTAATGGATTTTTCCATCGTTCATTCTACCATTTATTTCCCTCTGGGTCTTTTTACAACACAGACCATCAGAAAATATATGTATGACAGGAAAAAAAACTGAATCACTATGCTGTACACCTGAAACCAACACAATATTGTAAATCGAGTATACTTCAATGGAAAAAAAAAAGAAGAAAATATGTGTATGGCCAGTGAAAAAGGAGGTGAATAGATTCAGGGTTCACCATTTCAGTAAAGCGTCTTCCAGGTATCACTGAAGCTTAAAAATTGAATAGATCAAAAAAGGAAGTGAGAAATTAATGAAACAAACATGGGGAAATATTAAAGATGGATTATTTTTAATAAAAAGTGCTCAAGGAAACCTGCATTTGGTATGACAAATTTCCAAGCTATTTTCATTGTCCTAACTAAAAAGGATTTTGGATAGCAAATTAGATTGTGTGGAGAGTTTAATATGTTTTTACAAAATTAAACCAATTTTAAGTGCACAACAGTTTTTCAGCAAAAACCAAAAAGACTTGACCTTTTTGGTTTTTTTTTTTATTTGAAGTGCAATGCAGAGTCCTTTGAGGTCTCTTTCTTTAGAACCAATGATATTTGGCTGTAATCCACAACATCATTCCTTGTAATAAGCAGGTGAAACAGCATTTAGGTTAGAGAGACAGGGAGTAGGAGTTTAGTGGTGGGAAGGTATAATAAGGTCTGTTTTAACCCTTTTGCTTCTAGAACCAAAATCCTTTCATTGTAAATCATAAAAACAAAAACTCGACAGATAAACCAGGCTCTACACGTTCTCTCTGGGGCAAATACTTGTAAAAAAACAAATCCATATATTTAGCGTCAAATGGAAATCACATATGAAAATAATTACTTGAAAAGTGATGTCATCCTCACAATATGGCTTCCAGCTGTATCCTTTATTTATCTTTCCAGCTCTCATCTTCAGATTTTCCCATGAGGACAAGTAAGCCTGCCATCATGGTGTTCATACCAAAAACATGCAATTTCTTTTAGTAAACAAATCAGTGGAATCCCTGATAGAGCTTTTTAAAAAAAATTGACATATCCATATGTGATCACCGGATCTTCGTTTATTCATTTAGCAAGTCTTTATTGAGCACTTACTGTATGGCAGCTCCCATGCTAGGTGTTATGGACACAGAGTTAAATCAATGGTCAGTCAGCCGCTGCATGAAGGTGCTTATAATTCAGTGGAGGAGGCAGATATGGAAAGCAGTTGCTGCTGTGCAGGGCCACAGGCTAATGCTCCAGGTGAGTGGAAGAAGCCCTGGGAATATGGAGAAGAGGTATTTCCATCAGCCCAGGGCAGTGGTTCTCCACCCACCCTATCTCACACAGTACTCCACCATGTGTGTGTGTTGGTGGGGGGGCAGTGTATAAAAAACGTAATGTGGGGCTTCCCTGGTGGTGCAGTGGTTAAGAATCCGCCTGCCAATGCAGGGGACACAGGTTCGATCCCTGGTCTGGGAAGATCCCACAGTCCGTGGAGCAGCTAAGCCCAGTGCGCCACAACTACTGAAGCTGGCGTGCCTAGAGCCCGTGCTCCGCAACAAGAGAAGCCACAGCAATGAGAAGCCCGCGCACCACAATGAAGAGTAGCCCCCGTTCGCCGCAACTAGAGAAAAGCCTGCGTGCAGCAACGAAGACCCAACCCAGCCAAAAATAAATTAATTCTAAAAAAAACAACATAATGTAAAACTGACCCTCTTTACCATTTCTAAGTGTATAGGTCAGTAAAGTGTATTCACACGGCTGTGTAACAGATCTCCAGAACTTTTTCATTCTGCAAAACTAAAACTCTGTACTCATCTAAGAACAACTCCCTTTTTCCCCTCCCCACCATGCCCTGGCCACCACTATTCTAAATACTTTTTGCTACTGTGAATGTGCCCACCTCATATAAGTGGCATCATGCAGTATTTTTCTTTTTGTGACAGGCTTATTTCACTTAACATAATGCCTTTAATGTAGCATGTGGCAGGATTTCCGTTTTAAGGCCCAGTAATAATCCATTGTACGTATACAGCACATTTCACTTATCCATTCGTCTGTCGATGGTGCACACCTCACCTTTTTAAAACAAATATTTTGTAATTCCCTTTATTATCTGAAAAACTGATGATGTGCCAATTTTTTTAAAACATATAAAGCCCTAAATACAAAAGGAAAAACAAAAGGAGATTAGTATTAAAAGAAATGTATTTCAGAATGCTTAACTACATTAGAAGACAAATGAAGTAGTGAGAAGCTTTCCCCTACATGTAGACTTACCATAAATACAATTAAAAATGTACGTTGATATAACAGTATTATTAAGTTAATTAGTTTCGACTCAGTTTCCATAATGGTGTTCCCATTATGGAAAAAAATTATGATTTTTCTAAAATGGTGGACCACCCTTGGTCATACAGTTCTAACCAAAGCAGGGTATAATTTACATGATAGTTTCATTCCTAGAAGACACCATGAAAAAAATATTTTGTGTTTATATGTAAGAAAGTTAGGTTCTAGACTCAGACTATTATAAAAAAATTTTCACCTACCTAAATGTCTGGAGGACATTTAAAAGTTGAACGGGATATGGGACAATTCATTGCATGTAAATTATCCAGGACACTTGTAAGGTATCCAGTATCTCTGGCCCCTGCGTACCAAATGCCAATAATGCCACCTGGTTATTTTGACATTTAAAACTACACATACACATACACCATATTACAGAAATGCCCTCTATGGGGCAGTACCACTTCCATTGAGATCCACTGGACAAAAGCGTCAGGGGGAGTCTTAAAATGAATTCTGAAGAACTGCTAGGAGTTAAGTATATAGTAAGTGCTCAAAAATTATTATCTGTTGAATGAATGAAAGAAGCCTGATTTTTCATGCCTATACACTTTTATTTCTTAAAAATTGTTGCGGTATCTAAATTTAAGCCATCTTTTACCACAGATCGAAATAGAATTCCATCTAAGATGTCAGCATGTAAGGTCAAACCCACCAGAGGGCTGCCACGTGCCTCAGAATGGCCAGTGCTTGTTCTGTGGCTCTTTGAGCCACTGGCGCCATCGCATCTCTTGTCTCCTGCACATTCTGAGTCACGGTAGTCGTGTGAGATGGCATTAGGTTTACACACTCCACAGGCTGGTGTTAAAACCGTCATGCTTTTGCTGGTCTGCTTGCTTTGAAGTGAAGTATATGGTTTCTATACATTAGTATTCATAATCAGCCTAGTCTGTCTCTCTTGCTGGTTTTTTTTTTTTTTCAGCTAATTATCGAGTTATCATTGACACACAGCACCATATAAGTTTAAGGTTTACAGCATAATGATTTGACTTGCACGCATCATGAAATGATTACCACTGTGGGTTTAGTGAACATCCAGCATCTCACAGAGATACAAAATTAAAGAAAGAGAAGAAAAAATGTTCTTCCTTGTGATGAGAACTCTTAGGATTTACTCTCTTAACCTTCATATGTAACCTACAGCGGTGCTCATTATATTTATCACGTTGTACATCACATCCCTAGTACTTAATTCATCTTATGACTGGAGTTCGTCCCTTTAGACTGCCTTCATCCAATTGCCCATCCCTGCAACCCCCCCGCCTCTGGGAACCACAAATCTGATCTCTTTTGCTATGAGTTTGTTTTTGAAGTATGCTTGACCTACAACACTGCTAATTCCTGTCACATGACATAGTGATTCGATATTTCTATACATTTCAAAATGATCACCACAATAAGTTTAGTTACCATCTCTCACTTCTGGTTATTCTTCAACAGGATATTGAAGAGACGATGAACACTGCTTTGAATGAACTCCGAGAACTGGAGAGACAGAGTACAGCAAAGCACGCCCCCGATGTGGTGCTGGATACCTTAGAACAAGTGAAAAACTCTCCCACCCCTGCCACGTCCACGGAATCTCTCAGCCCTTTGCACAACGTTGCCCTCAGGAGCTCGGAGCCTCAGATTCGACGTAGCACTAGCTCCTCCAGTGACACAATGAGTACTTTCAAGCCTATGGTGGCGCCCAGAATGGGCGTGCAGCTGAAGCCCCCAGCCCTTCGGCCGAAACCTGCTGTTCTTCCAAAAACAAACCCTACAGTAGGGCCCACCCCACCTTCCCAGGGTCCAGCAGACAAGTCTTGCACAATGTAAAAACCAACTGAGCGAGCATACGGGGAGGTGATTAGAAAGAGAAAACGGATTAGTGACAAAAGTCAACAATCCTTAACTTTCCTTAGTCGTGTGCTTATAACTGGAGACCCTTTGGCTTTTCTGTGTTCTCGAATGTAATGTCTGAGACTAGCTAAATTAACACGGGCATTTGTATTTTGTAATTTCATCCTTTTTTTAATAACTGGACATATCCTGTGTCGTTTTAAAGACAATAGAAACACTTAGACTTACTTGAAAATCCAATGCTGCACCATTTGTAATGAAGGCACCACCGCTCTGCCCTGCACGTTGCACAGTGCTTCGGGCTTAGTGTAGCCTGGATGAGTCAGAAGCGTCTGAATCCAAAGGCAGGAGGATCTGAGTTCCAGGCCTTGGAATGTAACCAGTGTTGGTCTCTGGCACTCGGGGTGAGGCTAAAAGGTGACAATGGATTGTTTGGTAGCTGACAGCGAGTACCTCTTATTCCATGCAGTGGGGCAGGGGGCTGGCTCTTGCTACAGACTTGCTGTTGTCACAGTGGGGTGTTCCCAGCGCGAGCTGCAGCCCACCGGCTGACTTTCGTAACAGTCGTTTCCCTGGGTCCCGGTGAAAGTCTCAGCAGGAGCGGGTAGAACCTCTGCAGCTACCGCTTGAACTGAACCTGGGAAGGGACAGTCCTCCAGAGCTATTGCTGTAACTCTTTCCCCAAGCCTGATCAGGCCCCGGAGGGTTTCCAAGTCCATCCCCTGCATTCACTGCAGACTAGAACAGTCTAATTTTAAAGACTTTCTGGTTACACTACTCCATGAACCCCTTCAGAGGTCTGTTGTTGCCTAGAAAACAACTTCCAGCTCCCCTAAGCCCCCGTGTCTTCCTCTGTGGCAACGGAGAAAGCAGACAGCGCACAAGTCCTTGGTTCGCCGGCCTTCCCTTCCCCTGACAAGATGACCTGGGTTCCTTTAAACGTGCTACAGAGGCCTGAGGATCCTAAATTGAATCCCCAGCTCCCCTCGGCATTTGTCTCTTTGAGCTACGGTACTGGCGTAAGAGCCAGAGCAGCCAAGGTGGGAAGATGACCTCATGCTTCCAGGACGACTTCCTCCCAGTTGTGCATCCTGGAACCATGGCTTTTTTTGTTTTCTCCGTGTGGTCTCTACTACATCACTCACACAGTCAGCTGAACTCCACTGACACCCTCTTTCTCTGACATCCTCACCCACAGGCAGTTTTTCTTTAGCCCATATTTATGCTCTGTTTCTCCTCTATCTTAAAAAGGTTGCTTTGAATTCATTTGTTTTTACTAAGGTACAGATCACCACTGTCCTAACAGCAGCTTATACCGTCTGTAAACCTATGAGCATTTTATCTACTCTGTCGTTGAACTTACTGAGGAAGAGTTTTTTTGTTTGTTTTTTGGTTTGGGGGTATTGTTTTGTTTTCAGAAAAATGGGTGGCCAGAACTAACCCCTCTGGACCACTTTGATTTCAAACTGGCAGCCAACTGCGTGCCCACCTAAGAGTTACAGTATGGGCTTTGATTTCTCAGCTCATTGGTGAATGCATCAATGTGGAAAAAATGGGGATCTGTACTAAAATCCAGACATTACTTTGATCTCTACCTCAGTTTGCCAGTCTAATCATTCTAATGCAAAGAGAGGTGACATTTATGAGATACTGTTACCTTTCCAAGTCACACTGCTGGTGGCTTGCCTGCAGCCTGATTTCACAAATGGATTAAATAGTGAAAAAAATTATTTCAAATATAATATTTCCAGGTATTGTAAGCCTCTGAATTTTTACAACATCCTTCTTGCCCATTTTGAAAAAGAGACCCAGCTCAGCATCTTTTGCAACGCCCCCCCCCACCCTCTCCCCCTTGAGCTTTAGTGGTCCTTCAGCACCTTTGGGCACCATGGAAACCCAGCCGGGACTGAGCTCTGAATAGCACGAACCCTTTTAAACAAGCTTCCCAAATTTCTAGGAAATTGAAACTTTTAAGATCATCTCCCAGTTCTTTCTAGATTCCACTGTGGTCTCTAATTCTCTGTTGTTAACGGGGAAACAGAAACAGAGAAAAGGGTGGAAGTAATGGGGGAGGAGACTTTAAATCTTTTAGAAATTAAAGAGGATTCTTAAAAAACCACTTCCTTATTTGATGGATGAGTAAGATGTTAACAGAGGGCGTCAAAAGGGCAGAGGTGTTTTGAACTTACTAATTTTTGAAGGGTTCTTTTACAAGCTTTAACTTTAGCTTTTCAGATCTTACTCCTGCAAACTCATTTCTTCAGACTTCTCCCTGGTAATCCTCCCCAGTGTCTCCTCTCTTTGCTGTTGACACCTGCGATGGAACGAGGACTGCCTTTCCACCCTCCAGATCAGGACTCTGCTGCCTCGCACGGCAGAGGACATGCTGCTCCAGACCTCAGAGCCTCAGAGGAAACATTTCCGAATACCCTCCCATCGCTCCCTTTCTTTACCTGTCTCTGTCTTTTCTCTCTATAACTCTGTTGTCACCCTGAGGCTTTTTTTTTTTTTTTTTTTCCAATTCCCAGGGAAGGATGTGACCTCAGAGTGAGTAAGGACTCACTAATCCTTACTTTGTTTAGTAAAAGCCTTCAGATTCCAAGGATAAGACAAAGTGGCCACTTCACAAAGGATCCAGAATAACACCCAGTAAGTTCCTTAAAAGTTTCAGCAGCTTAGAGGGTTCACCTGTATGTGGTTCTCTTTACCGCCACAGGTGTAGCCCACAGTGGGGAGGTGGGAAGTCACAAGGAATGGGGAGAGAAGAAAGAAAATAAGTCCCTGAGATGTTATGCCCCAGTTTCAAGGATCTTAATGGTTCATGTGCAGTTTGGGAAGTGGGTCATTTTGATGATGAGTAAATTATGGTTCTACAAAGATTACCTGACTCCACTTACACAAGAATATGTATTCACAGCTGATATAACAATGTTCACGTCCCATCCACAGGACTCGCTGAAGTAGATTTACCAAATTGGCCTTTCTGTTTGGGTGGGGATGCTTGGAGTGGGTCGTTAGGATAGAGTGAACGGTTCTTAGTACCTGTTTCCTAATGAGTGTTCTGTAAATTATTTCAATCCATTGAATGGCCCTTTGTAGAGCTCCATGTTCAAGTGTGGCATAAACGCCATTGTTCAACAGTTTTTCACATTTTCACACAATGTAATCGGACTTTGGTGCCCCTTGAGCAATCCATAGAATAATGTACAGCGGGGTCCCACTTAATCTACAGCAATGAACATGAACAGTGATCAATGGATATAGAGCGCCAAGGGTCAAATTGTATGAGTTTTCTGTCTGCGTACTTTTGCCATTCCCAAAAATGGGTTTATAATTTAATTAAGGAAAAAGTGGGGGGACATGGTGGTCTCCTTAGTGTTTGGGAATGAAGCATCGCCTCTGGGGTCTGTAAACTGAAGAAACTTTAGTAATCACAGCCTCTGAAATCCAAAGTTAAAGAGCCTGTGGTTCTATTGGGTTTACAGGACTTCGGATTTGGGATGACATTTATTCCTGACCACAGTAGTGAAGGGCCATGAATTCAGGAAATGCGCTTGGGGCTGAGTCTTGCTCTGAGTTACCTGCCACATAGGCCCCAAGGCACGGGCAGCTTAGAAGTGAAGTCTCTTCCCATGTATGAATGAGCTCACGACTGGAGACTGGCCCCTGAGCTAAAAGCCAACCTCCAGCTGGGCTGGGGTGTCAGGCATGGGGCAGGGTGACTGGTACAGCTTTGTTCAAATCAGTAAAAATAAACTGGAAATTGAGCTTTCACTCACCCACCCTAGTATACTTTACAAAAAAAAAAAAAAAGTCTACGTAGTATAATCAAAATGGTACCTGTATCTTAAAATTACGTAGGGAATTTTGTATGCTTAAATAATTGTTCTGGGTTCCATAATGCTTATCTTAGAAACTGTTTAGTAAAAGAAAATATATAAACCGTGCATTTGTGAATGCCCCCCCGTTAGAACATTCATCCAAGTTCAATGTGTAGTGTGATGGTTATTATAGATGTTTGAAGTATAGTAAGTGGCTGTGTGACAGGAGAGACTGCTATTTACCTACTGACTTAAGGGTAACTCCTGCCCACGTAATTAAATCAGTATTGTCCTTTCCTGTCGGTTTGATTAATTGCAGTATTGGTGGCTTCCTACTTGTGACTGTTACCTGATCGTGTCAATGTACATCCGTAGTATGTACATGTGAAAGTGCCTTTCTATTTTAGAGGAGTTTTAGCCTTGTTCTTTACTGTTGCCCCGCCCACCTCCTCCCCCAAGTGCCACCCCAATTCCTGCATCCACTTGACTGTTTTGAAATTTCCTTCCCTCTCTCCCAGCTGCTTCTCCATCCCCGCACCTTTTCATGCCTCGGTGCTCAGCCTTGTCCTGTCTTGCATCCTTGTCGGTCATGGTCAGGTCATGGTCATCAGACGTGTTGTTTTCCTCTTAGCCGTGACTATGCCTTTCGTTCCCCACAGTCACTCTCCGGGTCCCCCGCAAATCGCCCCCCTCCCCTCCCCTGCTCACGTGCTGCTGACGGCCATCCTGTTCGCCTCTGCTCTGTACTGCCTCTTCCCATGACATTCCCTCCTCTCTGAGGTGAAAGTAAAGGGGGATGCTTTTCTAGTTCTGGAAGAGAAAAAAAAAGAAAAGTTTTGTTAATCTGTTGTGACAATGCACTTTTATGTATAAGTACTGTACATTTTGGCATGTACCATTCCAGGCTTCAGTATACAGTCAGGTCTGTTCCTCATGGTGTATCTTTATAATAAATAAGATAGTTCTGGCTGCCTTTGTCGGCTTCCGATGGTCTGATCCTCTGCTGTGTTTTCATTCCTTTCTATTTCTAATCACTATTTAACGCACCCCCCCCACCAGAGCTGAGTTGCCTTAAATCGTTAAATCATATGAAACTACCTTTTTAAAAAAAAAAAAAAAAAGTTTTCATCTTTGATTTTGGTTTGTGAATTTGAAAATGAGGCCTCACGCACAGGGCCTTGTCCATGA